TGTGTGTGTGTGTGTGTGTGTGTGTGTGTGTTCTGGTATATATGGTTTATGAGGACACAAATGTGTATAATGACACGAGTATTACAACGTAAACATGGTTTATGCTGTTTACACTTCCTGTGTCCCCGTAAACCAAAAGGCTTTAGAAACAAAATAAACTGTGTGTGGTTTTAGAATCTAAAAATGGCTGTAGTTTTGTGTGAGGGGTAGGTTTAGGTGTAGGGTTAGTGTAAGGGGATAGAAAACAGAGTTTGGACAGTAGAAAATGCTCTGGTTACTAAAGTAACCTCGGTTCCCTGAGACAAGGGAGTGAGCGTTGTGTTAAGGGTGCTCATGGGAAACTCCTGTTAACTCTGATACTGAAGCCTGATTTGTTCATGTTTGTGTAGCTGGACGAACAGCTGGCGTTCATGTAATGAGGGCTGCTATAAAGCATGAGCCAAATATGAGACCCTCTCCACTAATCTAGGGAATTAGACAGTGACAGGGGCTGTAAGTCGGCCGACGGGAGCGGCTCAAAGAGAGGACTATGGATGAGTCCCAGGTCACACTCAGCACAGTATGAGGACGAGGCGGATGCAGCTCTGATGCAGTGGTGGTTTACCTTGAGATGAAAGCTCACATTTGTGTGCGTCATACTACATCCAGCACATCTGTCTCTGTTGTCGCTCAGATCTTCAGTCGGGCCAAAACCTCGGTCAAGCGCTGGCTGCTGAACTTCGCGGCTCAGAGGAAAGGGCTGGAGGTGCGCCGCGGCGTGATCCGCAGCGACAGCGTCTGGGACAAGATCTTCTTCCACAAGATCCAGGTGCGTGACGCAGCTCCAGTGAGACATGAAGCTGCGGCCGTGCTGATGTGTGACCGCTCGTCTGATCTCCTCACAGGCCAGTCTGGGGGGCAGGTTACGGATGATCATCACCGGAGCGGCTCCCGCATCTGCGACCGTGCTGGACTTCCTGAGAGCGGCGCTGGGCTGTCAGGTGAGACCCGCCGGCTGTAGCTGCTGCTGCTTAGCGTTAGTGTTTCCTCACGCGGCCGCTGCTCTGTGTGCAGGTGTACGAGGCGTATGGTCAGACGGAGTGCACCGCTGGATGCACCTACACCACACCTGGAGACTGGACGGCCGGTGAGACTCCAGACGCAGCACAGCTTTCATGAACTCCGGCGCATTTAAACAACATTTTTTATATCGGTCTAATCACAGCTTGGTTCTGTTTTGTTCAGTTTGTCTAAAAGCAAATAACACTCCTCAAAGAAAAAAACTATTAAACTAAATATTATTATTACACACACTGGATCACTTTACTGACCGCACAAGCTAGACTGTAAATACTGCTAACTCAAAGAGCTATTTTTAACTGATAAACATAGTTTTGTTGGTATAAATTGATTTATATAGGTTGGTTCAGTGATACATAATATTTATAACTTGGGAAAAACAAAACAAAAACAGGTCATTTAGATGTTAATAAATTAGTAAAACCAAATGAATAAAACCCACAATACACTGAAAAAATGCCTAAAAATTATAATTTTTAACAATTTTAAAAATGTTTCTGATGTTGTTTTGTTGGCACAAGACAGAAAATATGATGCATATTTTAAAAGGCCATCACAATACACACTAAGGTCTAGAAGTTGCCTTTATTAACAGTAAGTAATCTAAATTAAGCACTGACTAACAAAATATGTTTTATTAATATTAAATACAATTTTAAGGTTTAAACGAAACCAGGAACTAATGTAACAGATTGGAGTATGGTTTATTTCAGTGTGGTGTGATTATAAGGTTTAACAAAAACCATAAGGAAGACAAATGTGCACTCATCTGACTGCAGTCTGAGTGTTTGTTTGAGTTCAGCTCAGATCAGAAATACGCCTTTAATAATCAAGATTATATCCTCCAAAGACTGACGCGGTGTGCATTCAGTCCAGCTGAATACTGTGCAGCAGAATGAAGTAATTGTGAGACACATGTTTCAGAGTCTGTGCCAGCAAACACACAACTGTACGGAAAGCTCTCCCTCTTCTGGCTGGTTTCTACAGAACACTTCATTTGAGTTTTGCTCTCAGTAGTGACGTCATGTACAGTCAGTCCACTGTGCTCTTCAGTCATTATCTCCTTTAAACAGTCGTTTGCAGAATCATCTGTAACACACACTGTATTTATGCCTGTTGAGAACAGATGAAATACAGCAGATCATACATGATATCACTCTTTGGCTCGGGGATTGTTTTATATTTTAAAACAGAGGAGCGTGTAAAGAGTTTTCAGTAGTAGGCTAATATAGAAACACAGTCATTTTACATTTCTGTATTGAAATGTTTGTACAGGTTTGTCTCCGTGTTCATCCATGCTGTAAAGATTCTGCTGAAACATGCTAGTGTGCTAATGTCACGTGTTGCTATAGACCGCACACGGCGAAGGAGTAGAACCAACAAAGAGTTTCTTTTAATAATAAATCCACAAGAAAGAAAACGCTGGAGAATAACATGAAATCTACCAGACAAAGGCTTAAATAAGAAATCAGGGCAATCAGGGAGAAACAGAACAGGTGTGGAGATAATTAACAGCCGAGGAAACAGATTAACAAGAGAACACAGAAACTGAACCAAAACAGAACTAAACATGAGAGCTAAAGCGTGTCATTAGCTAACTGTGATGAAGTTATGCAGGTGTTTTGTCCACGTTCTCCTCCTGTTTGTTTCTGCAGGTCATGTAGGCGCTCCGCTGCCCTGTAATCTCATTAAACTGCTGGATGTGGCTGAGAAGAACTACTTTGCTGCTAAAGGAGAGGGAGAGGTTAGTTAACACTGTCTGAGCAAACAGAAATCATCTCAAAAGCTACTTCACACGACGGAAAGAGAAAAGTAGAAATCTACTTACATTTGCAGAAATGTGTTCTCAGTATTCATGCTGATTTTGTACATTTAAAAAAAAACTAAATTACTCTAAAATGTCATGTGTTATAAGCACGATGTAAATAGTAATTTCATAAACCCTGCATACATGTGAGTGTCCATAATAATCTATTTCAAAGGGTAAAAATATTGATTTTCATATATAGTGAAATTCTGAACCGTAAATATTGTGTTTTCCTGGAGATCCTGTCAGAATATGCGAAATACAACAGTTTCTCTCTCTTTTAAATGACATGCTGTTCTGGAATACTTCAAGAATCAAGTCATTTTAATTTGAATAGCGCTCTTCATGATGCACAATGTTTGAGAGCAGATTCACAGATGCACAGTGGTATGAAAGAAACAGTTCAGCTAAACATGAACATGAGCTGAAACTGTGCCCCAGTTCATCCCAGATCAGGATGAGTTTGTTTCTTCATCAGGTTTGGAGTGGATTATTGTGATGTTTTTATCAGCTGTTTGGACTCTCATTCTGACGGCACCCATTCACTGCAGAGCATCCATTGCCGAGACGTTTCTACAGACCTGATGAAGAAACAAACTCATCCTGATCTGGGATGGCCTGAGAGTGAGCAGATTTACAGCACATGTTCATGTTTGGCTGAACTATAGCTTTCATGCCACTATGCATCAGTCTTTAAGTGGCGACTGTGACAAAGAACGAAAAAACTCCATATGATGGTCTCCGTAAGAGATCTGCAAGTTTTCATTCACCAAACAAACTAATAACACTCAAAATAAAACATCTCCCATATTGTTTCTCAGATTTGTGTGAAAGGCCCAAACGTCTTCAAGGGCTATCTGAAGGATCCTGTGAGGACGGCTGAGACGCTGGATGCAGACGGATGGCTTCACACGGGAGACATTGGCAAGTGGCTGCCGGTACGTCTGCCTTTATATGAAGACCATGATGAACGCCACTAAATATCTGTACTCTGTGTCAACATGTTGTGATGTCATGATCTTTCCATCAGAACGGCACGCTGAAGATCATCGACAGGAAGAAGCACATCTTCAAGTTAGCTCAAGGTGAATATATTTCCCCGGAGAAGATCGAGAGCATCTACATCCGCAGCGAGCCCGTGTCTCAGCTCTACGTCCACGGAGACAGCCTGCAGGTCAGTGGCTCACGTTATTAGCGCGTCACGCGAGTTAGCAGCGCTGCCGGTTCATAACACCTGACTGATTGTGTGTGCAGTCGTGTCTGGTGGGAATCATCGTCCTGGATCCGGAGGTCTTACCCTCGTGGGCTCAGAAGAAAGGCTTCGAGGGATGCTTTGACGAGCTGTGTGGAAATAAAGTAAGGCTCACCCTGAGCACATGTGGCACAGATGTGCTGCTTTCACCACGCTAGCGGTTGTTGACCACTGTCTCTGTTTCACATCTGAAGGAGCTTAAGAAAGCCGTTCTGGATGACATGGTGCGCTTGGGAAAAGCTAGTGGCCTCCATTCATTCGAACAGGTGCGTTTGCAACACAGGCCATCGACACGACAGTGTGGTTACTGTTGACTAAACACTCTTTGGTGTGGAAATAACTGACCTGTCATGTTGTATTTCCGCACTATTGCTAAATTAGATTTCCTTTTGAGTTTAAGATGAAGTGTGTCATTGCTGCAGCAGACTAATGAGTGCTTTCAACCAGAGGCCTGTTCTTTATAAAACATCTGAGATGCTGTGACGCGCCACATCTTCTAATCGTGATCATTCCTCTCTGGCTGATGTGGTTCTTCAAACGCATTTCATATGATAATAATTTGATTAAATCATCTGAGATTACTGCGCATTCTTGTGTTCAATGGAAAGAGCGAATTTATTGATTCTCAAAACCATGATCAGCAAAGCAATGGCAAGACAGAGGTGTAACGACATCAATAATTGGGCAAAAGTCATATAAACACACACATGTACTCGTCTAAATTGGGACATTGCATCAAATTCCTGGACTTCCATTGTTTTTATACAGAGCTATAAATATTATAATTTAACCCTAAACCATACACTTACCCAAACAGAAAACTTTCTGCATTTGTAAAACTTTTAAAAACTTGATTTACTTTATACCATACAAACGAAGATGTCCCCCAATAGGAAGTTTTGGGAGATTTTGTCTGGTTTAAATCACAAATTTGTCGCCGAAATATGGTTAAGTACACAGCAAAAATCATTTAAAATAAATGAAATGTAACTGAAACTGGTGTCTGTGTTCACTGTTATTATTATTATATTATGCTCGATCCAGTGTAGTTATTATGGCCCAAAACAAGCAGATTGCAGTTCGGTGCCAGAAGTTGCACAGAACGTTATGCTTCACATTTAAAACAGTCAACAATGACATGCCTACACTCTTAAAAATAAAGTTTTTCACAGCAGTGTCACAGAAGAAGAATATTTGGTTCCCCCAAAAAAACTCTTAGCGAACAATTCTTAAAATAACTACTTTTTTCTTAGTGTGAAGATTTTAATAATCTAAAGAACCATTTTCTGTGGATATTAAAGGTTCTTGATGGAACCTTCAACACAGTGTGCATGTAGAGTCCTGCTTGATTTAATAATCCACAATGATTTCTTTGACTCCTGACAGGTTAAAGACATCCACATCCATAAAGAAATGTTCTCCATACAAAACGGATTGCTGACCCCCACTTTAAAAGCCAAGAGACCGGAGCTGAAGGAGTATTTCAGCAGGGCAATCGAGCAGCTGTACAGCAACATCTCCATGTGATCGCTCGTCTCCAGCAGATGAGGACCGCCCATCATTCCTTCACTATTTGTTCTTCTTCGTTGAAAACTAGCTGGCACTAAACGCTCCGAACGAGCCACGGGCGCCGAGACCGAGCATGAGCTTTACTCGCTGTAAGAGTATTTAAACGAGTAATTCCCCTTTGGCTGTGAATGTCAACAGTTGGTGTGCCTTTAGAAATGTGGCAGAGCTGCAACCAAATCGAGTCGTCCTCCAAAAGCAGAAGCGGTTCCAGCTAGCATGCATGCTTCATTCGTTCTCCGGTGGGCAGAGGAGGTCAAAGGTCACCCTTGTCCGTTCACCTTTCCTTTAGCGGTCTGAAGGGAATTCGATTGGCAAAGCCAGCACATTTCCAGCTAAAAGCCATGCATGCTGTGTGCCGGCGTTCCAGCATTGACATTCCCAGGCCCTTGAGACATTTTGCATACAAACCTCCTGCACAACAGTCACTATAAGATGCTAGTCTGTGTAGTAAAGGTCTTCAGATGTGTGCGAGCACGTCGTACAGTCTTGGGCCGACTCGATGGACCAACTAGCTTTTCAGTTCCTTTCCGTCCCAAAGTATTTCAATAGTAGCGTACTTGTTGAAGAAATCTAGATGTGAAACTATTTAAGCAACGGTTTGAAGTGTAGAGAAACCAATAAGATTTGAATCTGCTCTTGAATGATATCAGAACTTTATCTTTGTATTTCATGAGGGGTTATGAATGGGGACGAATCCGCAGAGATGTTCATTTATTCTCGGTTACTTTAGCTTTCATTTTATGGCTTTTAAACATGATGTATTTCACCTGCCCCCTTTCAGTCTGCCTGTTCGGCCTCTATTGTGTTTTTGTCTGTTAGCTAGAAAGTTGTTGACTTAGCTAATTTAACGATCAGGGTTGTTCCGTTACTCGTTTATTTATTGCTATTGCGATCAGAGGTTATTCTCCATTGGATGCTCTTTATGCTTACAGATCAACACAAGTGTACATTCCTCCTAATTTCGGTCAGACTGAAGAGCAATGCCCAACGTCTGTCTTCACATCATTACGATGTCTTCAGAGTCTCTCAGTCAAACAGCTATTAGACAGTCAGAACGTGTGAGCCTTACATATTTTGCATTATATTAAAATTTGAAGAAAAAAAAGCAAGCTTTTTTTCCACGGTTTTGACCAACAGTTTGTTGTTTGTGTTTTGGTTACTGAATCCGTTCACTTGCATTTTTTCCTGATAATAAAGTCTTATATGCGCATGTACATCTCTGCATATACACAAAAATAGTGATGAGCGTGTGCAAAACATGTAAAAATAAAGAAAAATTCTTTGTAGTTCTATTGGTCTATATGTGAAGCCTCCTCGTTCAAATCAGAGAAATATGACACAATTGAATATATTGATCTGACCGTTCAAACGCTTTGCTATTTTGTGACAGAAGCTTCCACACTGTAACAGAATGACAGTGACAGAACAAAAAAACACAGATAATTAAAAATAAATAAAAAATAGAACAAGTAAATAAGGAATAAAAAAATACAAATCGACAATTGTATGTACATGTAAACCACTTTACATAAAGCATTATCATCATGAGCAGGAACAAAACTAGACAACAGAATGAGTTGACTAATCAGCTGAATGAAAGCATCATAGGACAATCAACCACATCCAAACAACAACAACACAATTAAATCAAACACTTGTCTGGTCACCAGATGGCAGGGATCTGGACTGCTCTTCTGTGCAGCTGAACAAGCAGTCAGATTTGTTCAGGTGACTCTGGTGAGGCTTCTTTAAAAGATATATATATATATCTCCCCTGTATCTCTACTGTATCTCCCCAGAATAATCTCTGCTACTGCTCTCCATGCTCGAATCGTACATTTAATACGTGACAGTCGCATAAGTTCTGTACTGGAAACCAAAGTTTGTTCATATTCAGAACCTTCTTTAAATACGAGCGGTTAGTGTCCTACAGCTACTTTCAGTTTATAACAGTGATTATGTCTGTCATGATGATTTTTTTTCTTTGATAACATTTGTCTGTGTGATGGGAAAATCCCATTCATTCCCAGTCCTAAACTGTTTACAGGGGATTCACAAATGTTATCTTCTCTTAATCGTAATCATCTGAGATGTTTTGCCCTATTGATTACAGGCAGTCTGATAAATAATCAATAAACAATTCCTTTCTTCTCTTATTATACAGGATATAATTTACTTTACAATTAACTACGTAAAGTACATACTGAATAAAAATATTCTTAATCGTGTAGTCATTATAATCAACATTGTGTTGTTAAAATGAATTGTTAAAAAGCCAAGAATTAAACTAATCATAAAAGTGTAAAATATTAAAGTAATATAAAAGTGATGAATCATGGTGATGGGGATGCACCAGAGCAATGTCTGTGAAGATCTGGTGAGAAATGTAGTAATAAATACATCTCTACCACAGTAAAGCCAATTAATGTTGTAGACTGTTAGAGAACCGTCTCACATTTAACTCCAACTAACTGGGAGACATTTTCCAAATACTCCTCATGAGCTGTTTGAAGCATCAGTTTGGAGAGGAACAACACTGACTCTGTCTGCAAGTTCACCTGCACGGCTTAAACATTTAAAGAAAACGAAGGGGAAGACGGTCCTGTATTAAATTACTTCATCTACAGTATTTGTGCAATTCTTGCTGATGTCCTGACCAGTGATTTGTGGCTGTTAGGGTAAAATGCGCACCATTAAACGCTAAATATTTAGCCATTTGTTAGCCCGGGAGTGTGTATATCGGACAGGCCTGTAGCTACTGGCTTCTGCTGTCTGCCAGGTTTCACTAGAGCCAGCTCATCTTTAGGAAGGACGCCCTCGTTTACAAATCCAATCATTTCTTTGATATTTAATATATAATTTATCATATCCTTTCCTGATGAAATATTCTTTGAGTTATTGATGGGTGCTCTTAATTCAGAAGTTTTAAACTCATTATCCAAACCACATTTATTTAAGTTTCTCTTCCAATAGATTATGCTCCTTTCCTCTGGTAATTTTTGATTTCAACTTGAAATGCTTTCTCTGATTGCGCTGAATAATATTATCTAATATATTATAATATAATATAATTTATAATAATATATCATAAACAGTTCTAATGTATTTTTATATAATACAATATATAAAATGATCTTTGAATAATAGAATATAATAGAATAGTCTTTCGTAAGCAAACGTCATGTCTCGAGTGTTACTTATGTCTGCTAATGAAGTTACACAGCTAAAGCCCAGCAAGTGCTTCATTCACGAACACCATGTTTAGCTCGTGTTCAGTCCGCATCACTGAACGCTGAACCGTTCCGTTCCGTTCCGTTCCGTTCTGACGCAGCAACAGGAGCCCAGCTGCTCAAACGGAGCCCGGTAAAGTATAGCACGGCGAATCGTTAATCATCAGTTTTACATGAAATCTATTTTAGTACATCTTTACTAGGATTCTCACGAAGTAACCGAGTATATTGTATTTTAAAAATCTTATTAACTGAAGCTCGTCCTGAACTTTCTCCCGCAGTCGAGGAGGAAGTGGTTCAGTCCATGATAGCGGAAGTTCTGACCTCGGACCGGAGGCGGAGCAAGTTCCAGACGCTCGCTCGAGTTTGTGTTGTTTTATGTAAGACGACAGCAGACGCGCCGCAGAGAGACTCCGAGATGCGGAGAAAGCAGAAGAGACTGCTGCAGATCGCGCTGCTGCTGCTGCTGGCCGTGCTGTTGCTGCCGAGCGTCGGCTTGTGGTCGGTGTCTCTGGAGCGAATGCTGGACAGCTCTGCGGACGCCGCCGGACTCTCGCACGCACAGGTACCACAGCTCACTCTGTTTCTACGGCATCGCAGCAGACACTCGTTACTCGCTGTCGTATGGCAGTGTTGCGTGGCTAGAAGTGTCTTTAGTTCTTGACGCTCCTTCTGAACGGCAGATGAGGAACGCGACGCGACCAGAACGCTCTGCGGGAACGTCGCTCGCGCTGTACACAGGCTTTAGTTATTGGCTGATCAGTCATTATATGGTTCTTTTGCGCAAAGTTCACAGACCGATAACAAATTGACTTTAAACATGATTAGAGTTCTATGGTGTAATTCTGCCGTGGAAATTAAAACACATTGAATTATTCATATTCAGATAAAACAAGCATTAAACTTGTTCACTTTTCTTGTTTATGATTCTTCGGTCAAATAGAATTATCAGTATAGACCTGGACATTAAATATGAAAATTAAAGAAAAGCATAATTTAGCTCTCTTAATTGTTGTTTAATGTTTTTAAGGGTGGATGTGTGTTGTTTAATAAAGTATTTTAATAGCTTCTTTTGATTTTAGCATAACGACAAATAAAAGCCATTTATTTGATCTTGGAAAAAAATAATAAAACCACACTATTAAAGCCACACAATGATTTTTGTGAAGACGGGCATGATTTTCTTTTTATTTCTGAGTAAATGAAAGGAGTTCACACAAAAATGTGACTCACAGTGTCATTTTCTTTATTTCTTAATGAATATCTGATTGAGTGGATTTAATACAGCGTCGACTCAATTTAACTCTTGAAATGAGAGCTGAGAGTGTCGTTAAAAAGTGATGTGGAAATATCAGTGAGTGTTGTCCTTCGGTTAAACTGAGGCCGTGACTCTCTGCAGTCATAAAACATCCCAGCATGTCTTCTGAATAGGGGTGTGAATCACAGGGTCCCTCACGATACCGAGAATATCACAATACAGCAAAGATAATCAATATACTGCTAGACAATCCTATAATGATACATCACGATATCTGTGTAACTATTAAAACAAAATGCCTGCCAAAAGGTTTAAGTGCAGGTTCTCTCTCTTCATTCAAGTCTGAAAAACTGCTGAAAATTCTGTCATCATTTACTCTCAAGTTGTTTTAAACCTGAATGAGTTTCTTTCTTCTGTTGAACATAAAAGCTATTTTGTAGAATGTGGGTAACCAAACAGCTGCTGGTCCGTGATGTCCATAGTATTTTTTTTCCCCTACTATCAAAGTTAATGGGGACCAGCAACTGTTTGGTTCCCCACATTCTTCAAAATATCTTCTTTTGTGTTCAACACAAAAAAAAAGAAAAGAAAAGAAATTAATACAGGTTTTGGATAACATGAGAGTGAGTAAATAATGAAATAATTTTCATTTTTGGGCAAACTGTCCCTTTAATGGCAAGCAGCAGCATGTTTAGTACAATTAGTCTGCTGTCACTTTAAGAGCTGCACACATCTAATACACAGGCACGCATCTGTTTTTCTCTCTCTTTTTACTTCCACTTTAGACATAACCAACTGTGTTTATATGTAACGCTTGTGTGTTTTTGACAGTATTAGTGCAATCAGATGCGAAAGATAACTTAGTCCAGTAATCAGGCGCTGTTTGACAGGCCTTTCAGTGTGCACGCTTCAGGTGTACGGGCTCAGAAAAAGCACATGTCAGAACAGCACGCGAATTAAATGTTTAACCGACAAGGCTTTAAAGCAAATGCAAATAATGCAGTTCTTGCATATCACAATACTCTTTGTCAATTTTGTTTGTCCCATCAATGGCATACAAGCTGAGGTGGGTCCTCTATTATTTTACGCACACTGCTGTCCTCAATCTCATTAAAAACCTCTTTTTCTTAGGTTAGTTAACTTATGTTCACATTTCCCTCATTCATGTGTTGAGCGCCACTTAGAGGAGCCATGAAGTAGAGTTACTGGGAGCAGAGAAATCTATTAAGAGCACCTTATTTTATTAATTAAAATATCGATATTTGGCGCCAGCGCATCGATTCTTGTATCGCACAGAGAAGGACAACAATATATTGTCATATTGATATTTTGTCCCACGCCTACTTCTGACCCTGGCCAGATGGCATTCATCTCTCTGTCTCATCTCTAGCAGTATCTGGATGGGCAGATGTGTGTTGTTCAGATGTGTGATGGGCATGTGTGTGTTGGGCAGGTGTGTGATGGGCATGTGTGTGTTGGGCAGATGTGTGTTGGGTGGGTGTGTGATGGGGATGTGTGTGTTGGGCAGATGTGTGTTGGGTGGGTGTGTGATGGGCATGTGTGTGTTGGGCAGATGTGTGTTGGGTGGGTGTGTGATGGGGATGTGTGTGTTGGGCAGATGTGTGTTGGGTGGGTGTGTGATGGGCATGTGTGTGTTGGGCAGATGTGTGTTGGGTGGGTGTGTGATGGGGATGTGTGTGTTGGGCAGATGTGTGTTGGGTGGGTGTGTGATGGGGATGTGTGTTAGGCAGATGTGTGATGGGCATGTGTGTGTTGGGCAGATGTGCGATGGGCGGGTGTGTGATGGGCGGGTGTGCGATGGGCGGATGTGCGATGGGCGGATGTGTGTTGGGCATGTGAGTGTTGGGGGGGTGTGCAAAGGGGCAGATGTGTGATGGTCATGTGTGTGTTGGGCAGATGTGCGATGGGCGGGTGTGTGTTGGGCAGATGTGTGATGGGCATGTGTGTGTTAGGTGGGTGTGTGATGGGTGTATTTGTGTTGGGCGGATGTGTGATGGGTGGGTGTGTGTTGGGCAGATGTGCGATGGGCGGGTGTCGGATGGGCATGTGTGTGTTGGGCAGATG